GTCTGCCTTTTCCATCCCATAATCTATTACTCCTACACTAAATAATTTTTTAAAGTTCTTGACCCATACTGGGGCAATGGAGATGGTACAATAAGTAGAAGAAACTGTTCTTTCCATTGGTGGATTCACGGTCCTACAAGAAGGACAAAGCGTGAGCTAGAAAATGAAGTTGAAAGCAATCAGCAGGTATGTAACTGAGTCCAAGCTGGCAGTTGTGTTGGGCTATGTGGACTCAGGAAGGTGAAGAAGAAATGGAGATTTCTCGCCCTCTGGTGGTGGAGATGTGGATCTTCCAAGGGAGTGATCAGCTCGTGGTTGTTCTTGCTTTCAGATGTGAAGCCTTCGAACGTGCTGATCAATGCTCTGGGCCAAGTGAAGATGTGTGACTTTGGAATCAGTGGCTACCTTGTGGACTCTGTTGCTAAAACGATCGACGCAGGATGCAAACCCTACATGGCTGTAAGCTGGGGGTGGCATCTGGGACTGCACCTGCCAGCAGACCAGGCCAGGAGACAGAAGTGGAAGGTCACAGAGGGAAAAGGAAAATGTGTTATCTCCTCGCCTTGCCTAAGACCCAAGAAATACCTGCATCTTTTTAAATCTTAGATACAGTGAAACCTGTGAGAGCCAGAACTCAACGGGACTGCCTTGTTTTTCTGGGTCTTGCAAGTTTTTCGCCCTTGACAGGGGGCAGTCTTACCACTTTTCTGTTGCTCCTTTTGGTAGAAAATATTTGAGTTTTTCTTCTCTGACAGGTTTCCACCTTACACAAGTTCTGGCTTTCATAGGTTTTACTGTATTTCCTGTCTGCAATCATTCGTTAGTTCGTTCATATGTATTACTTTATTTTAAATCAAGTAAAAGCTGTATCATATCATTTGAAAAAATATATATAAGTGATATAGCCTGCACAATTTCCCACACTGAATGGCAGGTGAGTGTTACTTTCCTTGTTGAGCACAGAACAGTAAATAGAATTTAAATTACCCAAACCAGTCAGTTAGGTTCGTCATTAGATAATCTCATGGCTGTGAACAAGGTTCATTGCTGTAGGCAGATAACTTGGGGTCCCCTTCACTGAAGAGATTCATAATGTGTTCTTTTTGGAAATGAACTTGTTCCTGGAATTGAAAAACTTTCTTTCCAGGTTTAATAAAAGTTGCTTAGGTCTTTGCCACCACCAGTAGTCCAATGAGACTTGACGATTCTTTTCACTCAGTTCTGGACTGTTGGTGTTTTTAGTAAGAAAAATTCTAGACTGGAGAGTAGCTTTGTAACACATACTCGTTTCTTCTTATTGTGAAATTGAAATTCGCTTTGATATGTGAAGGGACTTTGATCCATTCCTCTCTTCCAGAAGAGACTAGCATAGAATGCAGAAAACTCCGTGGAGATGTTGTTATTTATTGTAGTTAGTGAGTCTTCTGGGCTGGGGAGGCACACGTACAGCTTGTAACAACTCCATGGCAGCTGGTTTACCTAGCCCCACTCCCAGAGAATTTACTGAGCCAAGAATACCATCTCAGTTGTCTTTTCTGTCTTCTTTCCAGCCTGAAAGAATAAACCCAGAGCTCAACCAGAAGGGATACAGTGTGAAATCCGACATCTGGAGCCTGGGCATCACAATGGTAGTGTGTGCTAATTTCCATGGACGCTGACCTTCTGGGCATGACGTTGGAAGTGGGCTGACTTTGGGACGAAGAGACAAATGTTCTAAATGCTGGTCTTGGGCATTCTTTCTTGCTCGAGATGGCAGGAGATTATCAGTGAAAATGTTTGCAGCATGTGTAATAGAAAGACTGCCCTAGGATTGGACAAACCCAACTTTTTCTTTTTTGTACTCCACCTCTGATTAGTTGTGTATCCTTGGGTAACTGACGTAGTCCCATGAACTGCCTTACTGTCCTCATTTGTAAAATGAGAAGGTCTGACTAGGCTCCTTATCGTTTAAAATTAAATTATTCTAGTTCTGATACACGCTGCAACATGGAAGAACTTTGAAGACATTATGCTCAGTGTGATGAGCCAGACACAAAAAGACAAATATTGTATGAGCTCACTTACATGAAATATCTAGAAGAGGCAAATGCGGAGAGACAGAAAGATTAGTGGTTGCCAGGGCCTGACGGAAGGGGAGAATGGGTAATTATTGCTTAATAGGTGCACAGTTTCTGTTTGGGGTGATGAAAACATTTTAGAAATAAATAGTGGCAATGGTTGTACATCATTGGGGATGTAATTAGTGCCACTGAAATGAACACTTGAAACTCCTTTAAATGGCAACTTTTGTGTTAAATATATTTTACTACAATTTAAAACAAACTAAATTAATCTAGTCAAGGCAAGAAGAAGCTTAAGCTACTCAAAGAGTGCTGTGTGTGGACCCTGATTAAAAAAAAAAAACCCATTACCGTTCAGTCAACTCTTACTCATAGTGACCCTGTATGAGTGGACCCACGCTGCGAGTGGACCCTGATAGGGCTGGGTTATCCGGGACATAGCCATGCTTCCCTGGATATTGTTAGGCTAGAAGTCTTGGCTGTTGAGGTAAGATATATCGTAAAGCCAGGACCCAACAAATAGTGTAATATCTTTAGGCACAGCCCTAAAATTATATAATCAGTGCCTTATCCATAACTTTCAAAAACCAGTTACTGTTGAGTCGACATCAGCTCATGGCAACCCCGTGTGTGTGTCAGAGCAGAACTGTGCTCCACAGGGTTTTCAGTGGCTAGTTTTTTGGAAGTAGATTGCCAGGCCTTTCTTCCAAGGTGTCTCTGGGTGGACTCAAACTTCCAACCTTTCAGTTAGCAGCCTAGGTGATCATAAATTTTCAGTTTATCACCAAGGTCTGGAATGATCTGCTGGGTCCTGGCTTCTTCCCAGGGACAGCAGCTGATTAAATCCTGTGAGTTATTCACATCCTCTGCCCAGAAAACACGTGATCCTGTAACAGCAAAGTGGCCTTTACTGAAGTCCAAAAAAAGATCAGTCATTTGGTCCTAGGGGTTATTTTAGTTTTTTTTTTTTTTTTTTTTTCATTCTAGCAAGGGGCCTGCAGATATACAGCTCTGTAAAGGTCTTAGGGGGAGAATTACTTTTCAGACCAAACATTTGAAAACCTGGTTGTTTCAACAAGTTTAATCCTACTGGCTTAACAATTTTTATTAAGTGCCACAGGGGGTTTCAATTTGGAACCTAGTTTTAAATAGGCTTAAATAACTGTCTCTGAAAAAAAAAACACCGTTGCCTTCGAGTTGATTCCGACTCATAGTGATCCTATCGGACCAAGTAGAACTGCCCCATAGGATTTCCAAGGAACACCTGGTGGATTCAAACCGCTGACCTTTTGGTTAACAGCTGTAGCTTTTAACCGCTACACCACCAGGGTTTCCTTGTAACTGTCTCTAATAAGATATATTTGAAAATCCCTATCACTAGAAATTGGGGGAAATTTGCTAGAGTACGTATTATTAGTTTATCCCCCTGCCCCCCTTTCAAGTTTTACTCGAACTTTTCCTCTGTACTTCTTTCTGGTTTTCTCGGGGCAAAACACACCTGCTTCTCTAAAGCAGCCCTGTTTAAACTGTTGTCATCTTGTTTTGCTCTCCCCTCCTAGATTGAGTTGGCCATCCTCCGGTTTCCCTATGATTCGTGGGGAACCCCCTTTCAGCAGCTCAAACAGGTGGTAGAAGAGCCATCTCCACAACTCCCGGCAGACAAGTTCTCCGCAGAGTTTGTTGACTTTACCTCACAGTGGTAAGAGAGCCTCGTCTCCCAGATGTCAGGGCTAAGAAAGAAGATGAGTTCTCATGAGTTTGCTCCATCGGGTTTAGTCCATTGTGCATACGCAGTTATTCCGAAAGCAGGTGTTGAGTATGCCCTCTGTGCTGGAGATCAGAGATGACTGCATCACAGTCCCTGCCCTCATTGAGCTCACAGTCAGGTAGAGGCGTCTCATCAATCAGTAATTACGGTACAATATGGCAAGTCCAATGATGGGGATATGCGTGGGGTGTTTCGGGAGCGCTAAAGAGAGATATTGGGAAAGACTTTCTCGAGAGAGTGAGTTCTGAGTTGAGACTATGTGAGATATTTTTCCAGCAAAAGGAAAGTAGCAGGGGGAAAGGTATTCTAAGAAGAAGAAACATCACCCATAGTGTTGTGTGCTGTTGAGTCAATTCCAACTCATAGCGACCCCATGTGACAGAGTAGAACTTCCCCATAGGATTTCTGAGGCTGTAATCTTTACAGGAGCAGATCGCCAGGTCTTTGTCATGTGAAGTCACTGGGTGGGTTCAGACTGCCAACCCTTTGGTTAGCAGCCAAGTATTTAACCATTGCGTCAGCAGGGCTCCTTATGAATAGTGTTAAAAAGAGAGAAGCAACTTTATAAGAGATATAAGCAGTCTGATGTTGATTCGAGCATAAAGATAGAGGCTGATAGCACCCTCTAGAAGCCTAGTGATAGGGAACAGATAAAACACAAAGACTCACCTTAGGTAAGAAGACAGTGTGTTAGTTTGAGAGTGTTACTTAGGTACCTAGAAGTCTCATTTTAGTGCATTGGAGGCTGTTCCCCGTGGGTATAATTGTCTGTGAGGGTATAGTGGATAGTGTTTAGGGTCTGGGGAAGATATCCAAAGAAAGTTGGAGTTGAAAGAAGGAAGGAACCATTGTAATGCTATAAATGTTTTATTTTCATGGAAATTACCAGTGGAATCTAGGCGAGTAAAAGAATGGATCCTTTTCTCTGGACGATCCAGTGATTTCTGTCTGTGTGGCGCCGGTGGTGCCTAGCATAACTTGATCTTAATGAATATTGCATCAAGTGCTGCTGGAAAAAAAGATGCCAAAGTGAAGCACAAAATAGCACCAAGTCAGTTTATTTGGGCATCCTGCAGGAGCAGATGAGAACTGGGAGAAAGGGGAGTTAGAGATGGTGACAAGACTACCTGTGACCCCTGGAGAGTAGCAGTTCTGGCCATTGCTGCCGAGGGAGGAGCTGGAGCTCTGTAGACTTTTGGAAACATGGAGGACACTGAAGCAACCCTTTCCTCATGGTTATCACTGCTTGGCCGCCATGCTGTTTGGAGAAGTGTTCTGGTTTTTGGAAGACACGATGAGACAAAGCAACTGTCTGTTGCTGGTGAAGCTAAGGCCTCCTGGACTCATTGTACCATCTCTCCCCTGGATCTTTTTCCTAATGATAGATGAGGCTGCCCTACAGTTGTTTTTGTTTTCTTGACTGAATGGCCAGGGAGAGACTGGAGCACTGAACTCTAGTGCAGGATGTTACTGGGTGCCTCTTAAAATATACGTCCTCCGGGGCTACTCAGATGTGTCCTGTCTGCTTTCCCTGAGTGAGTGTGCTGGATGTGGTGATACACCTACCAGATTGAGGTGGGCTCATGATTTTGTCTTTGGGTTCAAGAATGTGGTGTGTTGTGTATTTCCCCCTTATCCTCAGATGTTTGAAGGTCACCTGGGAAAAGCGATGAGTGGTCTTGGATTGTTCAGACTCATAGTTCTCAAAGGTGTGGTAATGGTAAAGGATCTTTCTAGGGGAGGTCTCTCCACACTATCCTCCCTACTACCCTTCTCCCACTTGCCCCCTTCGCCCAAGATTCTAGGTACTTCAGAAAACTTTGGTAAGAATGAAGCTGGTGTGAATAGTTTGAGAAAGCTGAGGCCCCTCTTGGGAATCACCAGTTTCATCCACTGGTTCTCAACTCTGACCGCTCATTTACAAAACTCTAGGGAGTTTTCAAAAGTACTGTTGCCTAAACCTCACCCTCAGAGACTCTGATTTACTTGGTCTGGAGAAGGGCATGAATATCGATATTTTTTCACATGTTCCTCAAGTCAACATAATGTATAGCCAGGGGTGAGAACCCATACTTCAGACATACAATCTGAAGACCTGCTGTCAACTTCTTTCTGTTCAGAAAGCTTCTATTCTTGCACTGTTTATTTAAAAATCATTCAACTAGTTTAATTTTCTTTCACCAAAGTATTATTTCTCTTGAATAGAATTTCCCCCCAAGGAATCAGAGCTTTAAAGATATTTTTAAAGGAAAATCTTGAAAAAGAAGTAACTTTTCTAATTTCGATATATGCACCCTTAATGTGGAAATTCCAGCTACTTGCATTATTTTCCTTTATATAATGACCACCCTGTAGCCACCCTTGCCCTCTCGAACACCTGTAGTGTCTTCACGGCTGCCTCTTTGAGATTTTCCCTTCACTCTCTTTTCTCTCAATTCAAGTCCCAGCTATTGTAATAGTTTGTTATTTTAAGATGTTGAGCCGTAGACATGGTCCTGCTTTCCTGGAACTGTTAATTCTGCTAACTCTGAGTCTTCTCCTTTGTACTCAAGAAAGCCAGTCTGGCTTGCTTATGGGGTTTCCTAATAACAATAATGATAATAGAAAAGAAATTCAAACTACTTCAACTCGGAAGTCACCAAAGGATAAATTTTTCTTCTTCAAACTCCCAGTGCTGTCGCTCGTTTAGAATCTGATACCTAAGAACATCAACTGTGTAAAATAGTGAGTCATTTTTGTTGGTAGGAGAACTGGGAAGTAGAAGCGGAGCGTTTATTCTCATTTTTATGAGCAGTTTTTC